ATATATATATATATATATATATATATATATATATATATATATATATATATATATATATATATATATATATAATTAGGTTGTGTAACTCAGACAATAGATAAAAAGAAATACACCTATCTGGTGTATTTTTATTGTTGTTTCCATTTAAATGCAAATACATATCAGTGGTGACTAGATTTTAATATTATACGATTTCCCATTTTATGATATGGTATGCCACTATATATTTCTTTATCTACATGAAACATGAAATGAAACAGTGCTGTGTGCCTGAGAGTTGTGTGAAGTCTGGAGTTCCTAATTGTATGTCAGTGTTTGTTGAGGAAGCTCTTACATCACCAAGGCCAGTCAGTTTAAGCAGATCTCTCTCAAATGAAATTTGGTTTAGACTCTCTAAAGCGGTTGTCTTGTTTTAGATGTATGCAGAATAAGCTCTGCAAAAAGAGAAATAGAATTTCTTTCTGGGTTGGATAAGACCTGAGGGACAGAAAGTTTCTCCTAAAACACGTTAAGCATCCTCAGCCACACACCTACTCACCTTAAAACAACTGAATATATGCAACCAGAGGCAAATGAGACAGGCTTTCTATGCCAACACTTCACTGCTTCAAACTTTTAAATACACAGGCGGCGTTTCAAAGCTCTCATTCAAAATTGATCGTGAAGTTCAACACTTGCTTAAAAGCTTAGACAAAAATGCATTTGTGTTGTTCTGTGAACACTCCACACAGAATCCATAAAATACTCTCGTGACTATGACTAAAAGGCTTGTTAATGCCTTGGACTGCATTATGACAAGCCTTGCATACATTAAAGCTGCAAAAGAATTGCTTTGACTTTCACTGTGAAGTTATTTTGTATTCTGATTTCATGTTTGTGCTATACTGCAATGCATTTACCATAAGTAAAACCATTGTGCGAATGAAAGGAATACACGGCAAAATATCTAGTGTTGTTTAGAGTTGTTTTTATGGTGTTAATTTATCAGAGTTAAAAAGTGTTGATTCTGGTGTTGATTTGAATGGCATTAACACTTGCAGTGTAAATCAGCGGTCGGAGTCAGTGTAATTGACATAATTGTCACTGGTGATGAGTTGATCCAATTTCCAGTCCTTGCACATTATTTCCTTTTAGATTAATGGCAGACGACCACGAACAGAGGACAGTGTTCAAACAGGTATAATATTTTATAACCACTTAAATTGACAAATTGCCATGTGTAGTTTACGTTTCTCACCATTCAGAATAATATTAGTACATTGCAAAGTAAATGGCAGCGGAGATAAATGATCAGATAATCAAGCAAGAAGCGTTTTGCTGAACTTATATTTTCTGCTAGCGTATGATTATGAACTAATATTTGCTCATCATATGAGATACGTGTTTGACAGATTCATCTGCAATAGTAGATACTTTAACTTACAATTAACTCGCTGCGATTTGACATTAATGTAACGTTAACATTTGTGGGGTGACAAATGGAGCTTCTGATAAGCGGCTCGCTCGATGTTCTTTAATTAACAATGTCATAATTTGCATTTTTCTTGACCAACAGCTTTCATGTTCATCAAGGCGTGAAGAAATGTGTAAAACTGCACAGCGATAGTATGTTCCAAGACTTTCTCACTGAAGGTAAGCTAAGAATCTTGTTCTACTGCTTAGAAATGCACTTAGTCATATAGGAACTATGCTTGATGTATAAGCCCACAGTGCTTGTGTATGTTAACACTTTACAATAAGGTCTCATTTGTTAACATTAATTAATGTGCAAACTAACAATGGCTAACTTTGGTATTAGTTAATAAAAGTAGAACTGTCTGTTCATTTTAGTTCATAGTGCATTCATGTTAACAGATACAACTTTAGATTTTTATAGTGTATCAGGAAATGTTGAGATTAACATTAACTAAGATTATTAAATGCTGTAGAAGTATTGTGCGTTCTTAGTCCATGTTAACTAATGAAACCTTATTGTAAAGCACCAGACGTCAGCTTGTTAAAATTGTTGTCAGTCACATAATGGCAATTCATGGGTAAAACTTCAGTGCTCAGATGCAAGAAATGCACACAGCTGTGTCAATTGGTGTAGAAAACAATGTTAAGTTTAGCATTAACCCTTTTTTTTTGTTTGTTTACATTGAAGGAGATCCCCACCCGCAAACAGCAGGAAACTTATGCCTTGGGCATTATTTCTCTCTTTCCTAGCCTGAGAGACCAGTTTTCAACAAAGGGCTATGTAAGAATCTTTTGTATTGATGTACTTTTAACACAAACTAGTTGGATATTAAGTTTTGTGCTCCTTTTTTGTGGCATGTAATGTATTGTAGTTTATAATGAAACCTTATTGTAAAGCACCAGACGTCAGCTTGTTAAAATTGTTGTCAGTCACATAATGGCAATTCATGGGTAAAACTTCAGTGCTCAGATGCAAGAAATGCACACAGCTGTGTCAATTGGTGTAGAAAACAATGTTAAGTTTAGCATTAACCTTTTTTTTTTTTTACATTGAAGGAGGATCCCCACCCGCAAACAGCAGGAAACGTATGGCTTGGACATTATTTCTCTCTTTCCTAGCCTGAGAGACCAGTTTTCAACAAAGGGCTATGTAAGAATCTTTTGTATTGATGTACTTTTAACACAATCTAGTTGGACATTAAGTTTTGTGCTCCTTTTTTGTGGCATGTAATAGTAGTTTATCTATTAAATGTAATGTAATGACTAATGAAATGTTCAGATCTTATAAAAAGTGTTCTCGTCTTTCTGACAGGAGCATTTCTGAGTTCCGGAAAAGGGAACGGAGTTCATCTCCTGGTGCCTTAAAACTTTGTCCAGGAAGAACCCAAAATGTGTTTGCTTGGAGATGACTGAAAGTGGAGGACCAAGTTGACGAAGAAGGATAGATGATGTGCAACAACTTGAAGGAGATGCATGCAGAGAGGTAACTTCTTTCCATGTCCATACAGCTGATGAAGCTGAAGTTATGCAAAAGATGACAGAAACGTTCAAGCACAGACAATAGGGCTGCACAATAAATTGCATGCGATATTTAATGCGCATCTTGCCAGTAAAGCCGGTTCTGTAATCAGCGGTAAATCTGACGAGCTGCGCAAAACCACGATCATATTTTGCACGTTTTGCGCAGCTTGTCAGTGAACAACGGCTCTGTGTAGTAAATGCTGCTCCACGTGAAAGCACGCACGTGATGGAGATTTACCGCTCCAGGGGGGGGTTGAGGAAATTAATTTAATGACGTTTTCCTTTCACTGTAATACACAAAGCATGATATCAACTGGTTTTGTTTGGCACGTATTGGGTTAAGATGTGTTATATAGGTGTTAATTTTTAATTATGCATTTATCATTTCACATTGTAATTAGTGGGTTTTTTTTGTTTTTTTTCCTGATTTAATCTAATTTGTTTTTTTTTTATATTTATCAAGCTGGTGTGCAAATTATTTAATACAGCGTGTGTCTATCAGCTGAGAAATGGCATCTGTTCTCTAGGGCGGGCACAAACACTGTGTCCTTGTCCTTCAGCTGTATTTATCTGCTTTGCTTTGGGAATCCAAACCATCTCACCACTTTTATAAATAATGAGAATAGGGACTTGCATTCCTCTGTTGCAATTAATCACATCATTTCTCAATCTAATTTGGCTTATTTGGCTGATGAAGAATGTGATGCTTGGAGTAATCCCACAAAGGTGAGAGCAGTTCAATCAGTTTGGCTGTTTATAGTGGAATATATGTACTGAAATTCTAAGATCTTGTTACCTTATTGGAATAGAGTAACCCAGAAATGAAAATTTGCTTAAAATTTACCAACCGTCAGGCCAAGATGTAGATGAGTTTGTTCCTTCATCAGAACAGATTTGGAGAAATTTAGCATTACATCAATCTTGTTTGCCAGTGGATCCTCTGCAGTGAATGGGTGCCGTCAGAATGAGTCCAAACAGCTGATAAACATCACAATAATCCATAATCCCCGTCTAAAAAGCTGCATGTTTGTAAGAAACAAATCCATCGTTAATCCATCGATTCCGAAATTAGAAATAAATATGGAAAAAAATAACAATTGAAATAAAATGGATATATTTTGCATTATTCTTCCACCAGTGGTACTAAGCAACATTGATCTAGGCTATAGGCATCAGTTTTCAAACAGTAACAGCAGGCTTCAAACATCAGTAGTGGGTGTAATGTGAAGATTGCTGCTCCCAAATAGAGACTCAGGAAAGCAGCCGTGTTTCCCAGAGCCTCTTCAGGCATCTCAGGAACATTCTGGGCTGAGATCACTGGCTTGTGTAATCCTTTATAGAGACAAAGGGGTTGTCTTTAGTGCTTCACTGATGCTTTGCTTGGTGTAAGCTTCTTGTAAGTACTTTCAAAAGTCATTTCATCATAAAACCAGGATTTTGAGGAACTCACAGAATGATGCTTTTTGCTGTCATTATGACCTTTCTGAGTGTTGGGGATTACTGCACTCGGCTAGCTGAAATAACAGCAAAGGAACAAAGCTCTGATTGGTATCTCAGGCCAAAAGGTTGAAATTTTGTTGTAGCGGCTGGAATGGGAAGGTCACTTTTAGAAAATACTAGATAAATAACCATTGTGAACACGAAGAAATGGTTCTATAATCAGCAATGTGTTATCTCTGTTCTCTGCCCATCTGTGATTGTGATGTTCATAAGGTTTCTAACATGAAAGCTTTGCTCTACCAAATTTTGTGTGTGACTATGATAGTACAAAGGAAATAACATGATAGAACAACTGGCTGTGCAACCAGGGTCGGATTTACCTCTTTTCGTGACATAGGCAAAAACATTTTTGGGCCCCCCTTCCCCATTAATATGGTAGGCCTAATATTATCACCCAAGCAAACAAAAATATTTCTTAATCAGTGCAAACCGTTACAATGTTTTCTATCGCAATAATCACTTGCGTTCAGTCAATAAAAATCGAATGTAGTTCTTAATTTGTTTGAGAACTGAGAAAGACCATTCCATTAATAGGCGCGGCGTCGTGGCCACATAATAACCACTTCGGGAGTGCATTTCTCTAATAATTTTAACGGCCAGGAGTCACAACCACACATCAAGACTGTTCAGATGATTGTTTCAAGACATTTGACATGTTTCCATCCTGAAATCTTGTCTGTTAAACTAAGTTTTTACGCACCTCATCCCAAACCTTCCGTTGCAAATTCCAAAACGTCATTTTAGAGCTAATCACGGAGGCTTGAGCCATTGATATGCAGGCTAACGCAGTTATTAATGCAGTCTAATGCGGTTATTAGAGAGAGAGAGCGATTAAGTGCGTGTGAACACATGCGTCATACATCACAATACATGTGCGTCTCTCAGCAGCAGGATTTACTAATAGCGAATCTTTAAGTTAAACTGCTTCAAGAACCTCGCAACTGAGAAATGTCATGTAGCTTTTCAGCTGCAAAACTATTTTATTGATACATTCACGGGGCAGCGCTGACAAGAAGTTTCTGTTCGCGTCTCCACGTGTGTGCGCGAGTGCGTTTCTGTACTGTGTGTGCGTCTGTGAGAGAGACTGGGAGAAAGAAAGCGTGATTTCCATAGCTTACATAAAAAAGGTGGAAGACATGGAAATAGTTTGTCATTTTTTACCCTATAGTTTGTTATATTTGTTTGCTCAATGTCTTCTGGGGTTTTGGTTATTTTACTGTTGTAGATAGCCCATAGTATAACAAAAATATTATATCTCTCTTCATTGTGTTTGGGCCCCCCTGGACGAGCGATCATAGGCACGTGCTTAGAATGCCTATGTGTAAATCTGGCCCTGTGTGCAACTAAAAGTCACAAAAAAGTTATTTGCTCCCTCACGTATCAATGACTCATGATGACTAAGGTTGACATAAAGCAAAAACATCTTGTTGACCTGTATTTATTCAATAATTATATGTTTCAGAGACAGTGAAACTCTCTTGATTGCCCATGTGTACTTGTACAAAGAAGACTCTTTTTTCCTAGGTAAAATAATTACAAATAATTAAAAGAAGATGAACTTGTCATTTTGGAAGAAAATTCAAGTGTTTTTTGCTTTTCTACGTAGTTGCTAAGATGATCATAGACATAACATATTTTGCCAAATCATAAATAGTTTCTCACATCATGAACAGGAGACATGTTACACATATCTGTTTCACATAAGTTATATTATCAGCAATTTGGGGAGAAATAAGGGAACATAAAATGTACGTATATAAGGGCCTGGCAAATATTTTGTGCAATAACTGCCAATAATTGGTGCGTTGACCTTCAGTGTGTCCATTTAATCACAGAGATGAAGTTACAAAGCTCACAAAACCCGTCTGCTGTGGCACTGAAAATCAAAGTTTTAAGCTTTAGTTAAGCTTTAATGAGAAAGATCAGCATTTGACTGACTGCTTGAGGTAGTGTTTTTTCTTTTCTTTGTCTTGTATAACCCCAGAACCTTATCAGGAAGACTCAAGTTCCCTTTATCGACAGCTACCCAGGTTTGTGTTCTTTTAAACAAATTAGCATTAATGCTATTATCATTAAGTTAGTGTTAAATAAAAACACCATGAAATGCCAAGTAGGCTACTCTCCTTCAACAAGACACCTGAGATTGTGTGTCTTTCACAAGTATAACAGAGAATGCAAATGTATTTATAAATGAAACCCACGTGGGACGTTTGGGAAAAGTTAAGTCATTTGTGCGTTTTGTAGGAATTCAAAAACTACAGCAGTTCGACAATATACAAAATATCACCCATGAGCAAATACACTCTCGTTAGTACAAACACAGTATCATTAATTTTACTTTAGTTCAAATCAGAATATTAAAAAACTGCATTTTTCAACTAATGTGCTAATGTGTTTTAGAGTAATTCCAGGCATTTTACCAGTAAAGAAGTTTGCAATACACATTATCAGTGCAAAATCTTTTTTTTCTCTCTCTCTCTCTCTCGCTCGCTCGCGCACGCACACACACACACACCTCTCTCTCTCTCTCGCTCGTGCGCGCGCACACACACACACACCTCTCTCTCTCTCTCTCTCTCTCGCTCGCTCGCGCACGCACACACACACACACCTCTCTCTCTCTCTCTCGCTCGTGCGCGCGCACACACACACACACCTCTCTCTCTCTCTCTCTCTCGCTCGCTCGCGCACGCACACACACACACACCTCTCTCTCTCTCGTGACGCCTTCTTTCTTTGCGTGCACATTTGGCCGCATTATGCAAATATTTCCACATAGTGAGGTAGCTATGTGGGGGCGTGTTAGAACGAGCCATTTTAGGGGGGCGTGGCAGAGTCTTAACTTTGATAAAGAATATCTCTTTGGTTTTGAGACTTTAGTCTTTGCAACTTCAGGGATCTTTGCACAATCAGCTTGTAACACTCCAAAGAGAAAGGAAAACTTGAAATCGCATCATATGACCCCTTTAATAATAATGTTTTTTTTATGATCAATGCTGAACATAATAACATGGAACACTTTAGTAATGGCTGTTGAAAATTCAGCTCTAACATCACAAAAATAATTTACATTTTAATATATATCTACTAAAATATAAACCAGTTATTTTAAACTGTATTGATATTTTACAGTATTACCGTTTTTACTTGACAATAAATGCAGCCTTGGTGAGAATACAGAGACCTTTCTCAGAAACCAAACTTTTTGCTGTTAGTTTAAATAATAATGATATATTATACAACACTTTCACATCAGTGATCAGTTGAGCCATCCTATTGGTCCATTCTCAGTTTCCAGTCAGTTGT